AGTATTCCAGAGTTAAAACGCATTTTAGAAAGAATTTGGGTAAGAAGGAATTTGACACTGTCTTAGTATTTTAGCCATAACTTTTTAATCCTAATTCCGATTGAGCTAATTGTTAGGCAGTAAATATTAGACTTCAAGGGTTACAAAAGTGTATTTCGTGACCATATCCTGAATCGACTTCTAAATAGGTGAAAACTTCTCCTGAAGTTGGGACAAAAAGTTGCCTCCGTCCGGATGCTCCAAGCACCGTCCGAACGGTACTCCTTACCCAAAAAATTTATTTTTCATCAAAATAGTGAGTTTGAACCATCTGGACGCCCAAGGACCGTTCGGACGCTACCCTAAAAATGGCATCGATCAGTTTTAGTGTTTTTCTTCGTTTTTCATCCTATAAATACCATATTTACGTCTCTTTAGCTATTTTCCATCAGTTTTCAACCCTAGGAAAACCTAGAGAGCGAGAGAGAAGGAGAAATACAAGACTCAAATGGATTCTCACGTTAGAACATATCAAACACACTAGGTTTACACACAAACTACGGAATTGAGGTAGGAGATTCTTCTTAAGTTCTTTCATTGAGACATAGGGTATAATTGTGTATGATTTCAATCTTCTTGATAATTATATGATAGATATATATGATTTTTTGGTTTCTTTATCATTAGAACATAGTCTTGAACAAAATACATGTTTGGGTTCAAGGAATACATGTTCTTGAATTTTCAAAACCCTAGTTTTTCTAAAATACATGTTCTATTGTGAAATTCATATGGATTCTTGATTTCTAAATTCCTATTCTTGATTAAATCATGTTTTCATCTAATATTTATTCTTGTTCCAAGAAATTATGATTTTTGGCTAAACCCTAGAATTTTAATATCGAAATTGTGAATGTTTTCTTGAGTTAATCTCTCGCATATTTTAATTCCTTTAGTACTATTATATATTGAGAATTGTGCACTTGTGATACTTGAATTGTTAATAAAAATTGTGATTGGTTAAAATTGTAGTTTCAACTCTTGTATGATTTCTTGTGATGGACTTGAATTGCCTTCGAGAGCTGCCGTAGCGTGTTAGAGGTTAGTCTATCCCAGTGGGGGTGAGATGATTGCCTAACACTTGTAGTGGATTATTGTTTGTGAGAGCAACCACTATTGTTCACATAAGTTCAAGGCTGAGAGATGGTATACCTGGAAGGATTCGTCAATGTCGTGGGAGACGATATACGTCATTCCAAAAGTGGTTTATGATTTGGCCCTGCGGGGAATAATTGAGATTATGCGGTTGTGATGGGTGAACGAGGCAGAATCGTTGTGTAGATTCCTGAGAAGCGACCAATATACATGACAATGAGGATGAACTAACATACATGAGAATATGGAATGATGTTACTAAGATATTTATTGATTGCTTTAATTTCTTACAAGTTTATTCCTGTCATTTGATTTATTGTATTCTGTACACTTGAGATCACTTTAACTATCATAGTTTTATTCTCAAAATCTATATATACTATTTTTCAAAAATGATTGGTCATCTTTTATTGTTTTAAACCTTGTTGGAGTTTGAGAGGTATTTCCTACGGGCTTTTGCTCACCCCCCTACAACACACTTACAGATTTTGGCATAGAAGAGGATGTCAATGTGGATGAGCAGATTGATTACGAGCCGTTGGAGGTTCAAGATATGGATCTTACCTTAGAGGAATAGAGTTGATCTACTTTTGGTTTAGAGTTTGAGAGATTTTTATGAAACAATGTTTTAGCTAGTTTTTATTATTCCGCTGCTAGAGATTCTTGGTTCTGAATTGTAAGTTGGAGAAGTTTTAATGTTTAATTGGCTTTAGTATTTATTCCTTGTCCAAGTGATGAATGTATTATTATTTAATGGTTATTTTTAGTTACTTTCATGATTGGATGATTTTGGAGCGTTACAAGTAGGTATCTTATCAGAACTTATATCACCACAATGGTTGCATTTACAATTATTATTTACAACGTTTATGTGTAAGTTACAACAATTTTGGTTCGAGGATAATTTATAACCCATTTGGTTAATTCTACTACATTTGTGGATTAAATTACGAAATTTAGATGTAAATTTACGCTTTACATTATTGGTGTCTGTAGAACAAAAACATTGGGTTCTGTTGAACAAAAACAATCGATCAATATAGTACTTTAAGTTTTGTTTATACCAGGAAAATTGTGATTGATCCTATAAAGGAAGAATAGATCATTGTACCATCTTTTTTACCATAAAAATAACAATTGATTCATAAAATTAATAGTCAATTTATTAATTAATATTCATTCATTAATATTCAATTTATCAAATTAATATTTAATTTAATTCAGTTAATATTTAATTTATCAAATAAATAATAAATTAACAATCAAATTCAGCAAATTAACTTAAAATTTCATCCAATTAACATTCAATTCATAAATTAACAACTAAATTTAACTAATTAACATTAAATTCATCAAATTAACATCAAAAATCGTTCAATAAATGTTTAATTCATCAAATCAATACCAAAGTAGCATGTCATTTTACTTTTAATTTGGTTAATCTTAAAATAATCATGGATAATTTGACAAACATAAAGGTAAAATGTATGACACCGATAGGATGCATTAATGACATACATTTACCACCTTTGAGTGTGAGTTTTGTCATAATTGTGGATAAATTTACATATTTAGTAGAGAATTTATGACTATTTTGGTTAATGTTACTAAGATTCTGGGTAATATTACGAGGATTAAAGGTAAATTTATGCTAAACGTTGATCAAGTTAAAACTATGGTGGAAAAATATATTACAATATGGGTAATGTTACGATATAAAAGGAAAATTTATTATAATTTAAGGTTACATACAACGATTGTGGGAAATATTACTAGTATTTAAGACAATTTTACCTTTAATTTGGTTAATTTTATGATAATCATGGGCAATTTTATAAACATAAAGATAAATATAGACTAGTGGGATACACTAGTGATGTATTTATGACAAATGTATTTAAAGATGTCAATCAATACTTTTATCACCATATTGGTTACATTTAATATCGTCAAGGATAGTATTATTATCATTGTGGTAAGATTTATCATAACTGTGAGCAAATTTTCACAGTTGAGGGTCCATTCATCACGTTTGAGGATGAGTTTATCACAATTGTGGATAAATTTATAAGTTTAGAGGATAATTTATAATTTTCTTTTGTTAAGGTTACAACAACTTTGGGCAACATTATAAAAATAAATGGTTAATAGACCACAAAAGTAGGATAAGTTAAAACCATAGTAGATGAATTTACCACAACTATTGTAACATTACTTCATTAAAAGAAAAATTTACTACAGCTCAGGTTCAGTTAGAATGATTATGGATAAGGTTATTAATATATAGGTTAATTTTACTTTCATGTTGGTTAATATTATGATAATCGTGGATAATAATACAAACATAAATGTAAATTTACAATATTGGTGGGATGTACTAGTATCGTATTTACGTCAAATGTGGTTAAAGGTGTCAATCATATTTTTACCACCATATTAATAAGATTTAATATCATTAAAGATTATATTACCATTGTTGTGATAAGATTTACTAGAACTATGCGTAATTCGCACAAATAAGGGCAGATTTACCACCTTTGATGATGAATACAATCATGGATAAATTTAAAAGTTTAGAATAGAATTTATGACTTCTTCAGTTAAATTATGACAATTTTGGGCAACGTAAACTACTAACTTTACTAACAACTGTGGTAAGTTTACCCATAACTGTGATAAATTTACCCACAATTGTAATAACTTTAACCAAAGTTATTATAAATTTGTCCACTATATCCACAATGGTGGTAAATTTACCACAATTGTGTTAACGTTAACAAAAGCAGTTATAAATTTGTATCATATAATAGTAACTTTACCCACAACTGTAGTAATTTTATCTACAATTGTGATAACTTTAACACAATACAGGGACTCCATTTCTGTTCACTTAAAGTGCACATATAAAAGGCAATAAAAACATTTATCTTTCCTCCTTTGAAGGGCTATCAGTCATCTCTTCTAATTTCAACGTCTACCAGTCTTTCATAAAGCATGTCTAATAAAAAAATTTATTTTAATTATTCAAAAGTATAATTTTTTATTTTAATTCCTCACTTTTTCAATATACACCCCCAAGAAGTTTTTTTATTTTAATTAATTCTTTTAAATATTATTTCCCATATTTTGTATTTCTGTTAGGACTCTTGGAGAGAGAGAGAGATAGAGTTGAGGGAAAAACATAAAATGAACAAGAGAGGCGGGAAAGGATATGAGCAGGGAGAAAAAAATTATAAAATACTTATATAAGTTGCTATAGTGATGCTCTATATTTACAGTATCACTATAGCAAAATACTATTTTATAGGATCTGAACATATTCTACTGTAGCATAATTTTTGTCTTTGATTAACTAAATATTAGCTATTTTTGAGTTTTATATGTTCTACTGAAAATGCTCTTGCAAGCTTTAAATATCGGCTTTTTATTTGACTCGTGACCATATACTTGATTTGTTGGCTTGAATTTTTTGTAGGGGATTTTGTTTTTCTGTGTCTAATGTAAGGATTTTCACCCTACTATGCGGGTAGGAATTATGATATTTTATCTTTCTATTAGATATTTTGCGGAAGAAATTTTTCTTAACGTACACTACCCGATGAATTGTATTATTCCTACCCGAATTCCTTCCAAAACAATCAAATACGAAGTCGGGTAGGAATTAAGTGAATACATATTGTTTAGTTATTAATTTTTAGATCATTTTAACAATTTAATTAGGTAACATGTCCTAATTAACTAAAACAATAAACTAATAACACTAAAGAAAACACAATAAATTCAATAATACATAAATAATTACAATAAAACCCAACAAGAAAATCATAAACATAAATGATAATATATAATAAAGCCATAAACATCAATAAAACATTAAGATTTCTAGATTCTTGGATTTTAATTTTTAGGGATTAACATATGAAAATTTTGTAGATATTCAGCATTCTTACCCGATTTTTTACAAAATACCAAAAAATCATCCGTTGGTCTGCCCGATTCTTTCGAGTAGCCCAACAATAGAGTCGGGTAAGATAGGATAGACTAGAAATCGGGTAATCAGAAATTTGAAGACCATTAGTCTAATGTCTTAACTTTGTTCTTTTGCTGCTCTGTTATGAAGAACTTCTGTGATGAATCTGTCGAAATTATTGTAAGATGAACCTCCAACTTCTATTGCTGCTTCTGCTTTCCTCTTCCACTCCAACGCCTGTTTCCTCATGTTCTTCCCTTTGTCAGCTTCCAACATTTCCTTAACAAGTGCTTCAATTTCGTCGCACTTTACATCATGGCTGACCTCTACTCCTATTCCCCACTCAGTGCATGCATATCTGCAATTTGTTTGCTGTTCGGCGAAGAAAGGCCAGCAAATCACGGGCACCCCTTCGCATATGCTCTCCAGTGTTGAATTCCATCCACAGTGAGTGAGAAAAACAGCAACGGATCGATGGGAAAGCACTTGATCTTGTGGGCACCAACTGGTAAGCAACCCTCTATCCTTAATCTCCTCAAGAAATTCTTTGGGCATGATTGCTGAATCACCCATCACAACATCTGGTCGAACAATCCACAGAAACGGTTGCTTGCTATTTGCAAGCCCCCATGCAAACTCTTTTAAGTTCTGGTCCGACATCAGTGTTACACTCCCATAATTCACATAGACGACCGAGTTTGGTTCTTGTTTATCAAGCCATTGGAGACACTGTGTGTCTTCTCGCCACAAGCTTGGCCGAAATGAACTCAGTGGACTTTCAGTGTTGCCCTGGCCAAGCAATGAAAGCGGTCCTGTGGTGTAAATCTGAGGAAAAATGGATTCAATTGCTTGTACAACTTCATGCTCCAGTGCATCGAAAGTGTTTAAGATAATTGCTGAAGCTTTCAAGCTGTTTTCTGCTGCATCTTTCGTGTAGTTGAGCAAGATGTCATCAGGATCCGTTGTCTGAATAAAGGATGGGATGTCCTTAAGCCGGATGTTTCTCATGCCAGGGATCCAATCTATTGGTGTTTCAAGAGAGCCATCATTTTTGAAGCTTTCATCTGGCACTCATGAAGAAAATGTTGCATTCTTAATCTAAAATATTCACACTCATGAAGAAAACGTGATTGAAAAGTATGGGGATGGTAGTGTAATTTGATAACTCCAAATAAGTCTCTCTAATCTTGGAGGGTGTGATTGATACCTTCACATTAAGATGCGATTCTAAGATAACAATTTAAATATCCATTAGTGCATAAAGGTTATTGAATCCCCAGGTTAAACAAAAAGTAACACTAAACTTCTGTATTGATGTTAATAATGTTCTGCAATAGGCTCTATCACTGATGAATTATGTTAGAGCAATGCTATTGGAATTTAAAAATCTAACTTAATTTATTGATCTTATTCACTGTGACCTTTGGATTAACTGTAGGCCTCATCAAACATTGAAACTTAGTGTTGATCCAATGATTTCTATTAAGTCACATCATTATGTCAGCAAATTAGGTCAAATTTTTAGGTCCAAATAACATTTCTCATTATGTTATGATGTAAGGGGTGGGGCCAATGACAAGATGATCAACGGTATAAGGCCAATGATACGTATAGAAAATAGGGTAAATTGCATCACATATTCGTGTAGTTTTGGCAATTAGCACCTTATCTCTCTTTGATTGGAAAATGTATGCTTCACACATTTCTTTTTTTGGACTAAAATGGCATGATCATGGACTAAAATCGACACTCAAAAGTCAAATTTTTTTTTAAATTGACAATCACATGAAAAAAGCAAAATATTTTAATAAAATAACATGTCAAAATGACTTTAATACAATTAAAGGGCATATAGTCTTTCTATATAAGTCGTTAGCCCCTTAAATGTTTCACTTTATTCCAAACATTTTGAATTGTATCGGTATTTTGGGCCCAAAACATGGAAGGTGAAATATAAGTTATTCTAACGAATAATACGATGTTATATCACCCTCTAATAGTATGTTTGATTGTTGTGCAAGTATTAGACTTATGTTGTAAGCATGCCAAAATTGCTACTAGAAGCTTATTTCAATCCAGAAGATCATGAAGCTAGTGGCATAGAAGCAGAATTTGGGGGGCAATATAAGAATGAGCTGCTGAAGATTACCTTTAAATGGGACAATCCCTCGTTTGATCAGTTCACTGTATTGAAGATAGCCCATGAAGCCACAAGCTGAAGGAGTCCAAAATTGAACTTCAGGAATGCCAAATTCTTCAGCAGCCTTAATGGCGAAGCTCATGATACCATCTGAAACTATGCATGTAACCTGCGGCACCTCCACCGATGAATTAAGCTTGGTCAACAGATCTCGAAAAGGAGCCAAGCAGTTCTTTCTAATGGAGTCACAAAGCGCCGGAGGATCTTGGGTGGCGTCACGGTCGGACGGTGGCAGTCCTTCAGGTATGGTCTCGAACTGGAAATCATCAAAGCCCTTAACCCACTCCGGTCCTTTGGACCGGAGAAGTCGCCTATGGTTGAACTCAGTGTTGACAAAGGTGATATAGAAGCCTCTTGAGTGTAGAAGCTTTGCTAGATGCATCATTGGTATCACATGTCCTTGTGCAGGAAATGGTACACAAACTGCATGAGGCTTTGTGTTTGAGACTCTGTCCATGTTTAGTTGAGCAACTAGATGGTAACAGAAACTAAGAGGCTCAGCTAGGTTACTTGAGATGAAGAGGTTTAAATAAACAACTATTGGAGCTTTTGACCCATCCATGGAATTTAAAAAAAAGTCTCAAATAATGGTCAATTTCAAAGTAATTCTCAAACCCACGTCTTTTTTAAAAAAGTCAAATAAATTGACGTTTTTAACACAAAGACAATGGCCACATTCAAGTTAAACACGTGAAACAGACTGACATTTTTATTTGAACACGTCACTCCATTTGACATGTTTCCTCCTCCTATTTTCCCCTTTAACTATTCAATACCCTTTAACCAAGTCTCAAACCCAGGTTCATGTCACTCCATTTGAGAGCACTCCACCTACAAAGACCAAGTCCAAAACTCAGGTTCTAATGCATGAATAAATAAATAAATTAATGTTTGTTTGGATAATTATCATAACTACCCCTAAATTTTCTTTTGGGTTTTAATTTAGTTCTTAAAATTTTAATTGGTTTATTTCAATTAAATCATTCCGTAATACCTAAAAAACATTTTAGTGATAGGTTTTTTTGCCTTTTTTTTCTGAGTAAAATGTTAAATATTTATTTAATAAAAAAATTATGATTTTTTAAAAATACATAAATTTCGTTTATCCTACGGATGTTATTCTCCCTAACAATGATACATTGCATGTTCCACAAACATAAAGGGGTAATTATGCTTGATTATGACATCAGAAAGCTTCTTTTGATAGGCATCTTGGTCAAAAGGTAGTTATGGCTCCAACTCATTTGTGTCATGTTCAAAACAACAAGTTTTGAGATGTCGCTTCAAATTCGATGTTCCGGACTTTAAGTCTGCCATATACAGTTGGTCACACTTTTTACACCTAGTCTTTTGTCTCCCCTCACTCTTAACAGGTAATTTCTCAAAAATATCCCAAACTATAGAACGAGACTTTCTACCTCGTTTTTTAGCAACAGAACTTTCTTCACCATAATCAACATTATCTTCCCTTATATTATCTCTTGAAGACATGAAGGCCTCAATATGAATCTACACCCCCAAAAATGAGTATTAAATAATACATAATAAAACATTCAAAGGATATCAAAAATTTTGGAAATGAAGAAGTTCGGATTTACTTCAAAAAATCTTTAATCAAAAAGGTGAGCACTACTTCAATGAACAAACAAACAAACAATACATGGATATGAGCTATATATTGGTTCTCTTGGGGAGAGAAAATGGAAGGATACCTACTACCATTACACAAAATCAAGCGAGAAAAAACAAACAGACCAGTCCGACTACCCTTTTCTATCAAGATGTAGGGATAGATCATTACAGTGATTCACATCACCATATTGCATTTTTCTGCCTCATTAGTATCAATTTAGAGGTAGTAATAGGAAATATTTAAACTCGAGACAAGCAACATAGTCAACCTCCGAAAATTTCTTCGCATGTACCTTAGAATTGAAAGACATTTATTCCCCATCAATATAAACAGAGACTATAATATTCAACCAAGTAACCAGATATGAGAAAGGGAAGTGAGTAGACACATTCCACATGGTTTATCATCAGGTTCTTATAAAAGTACTAGACAATCTGGGCTCTGAAAGTAAATCTTGAAGAGCCACTTTTTATTGGGGCCGCTACTGGTGGGGGTGGTAGGTTTTTGACATGGACAGCTACCTATTGATTGATCCTGAAACATATGATAACTTGATAGCTCAACATGTAAGTGATTTTGAATAACATTTGATAATTAATCCTATACACCGTCTTTATTTAGATTTGTAGACAGATTTTTTCTTTCCAAAAAATTAATAATCTTTCTTTTTCGAAGTGTCGTTACAACAATATAGAGTACAATTCAAATCATTTGGCTGGCTTTATTCGAAAAAATATGGAATTCATAGTCTTGATGTGCTATTTACTTGCAAGAACCTTCGTCATTATAACATTTTGTAATGCCGTTGTATACTTCAAAATATTCAGATAGCTCAAAAAATCTGTCTACCTATTAGAGCCGCCACTTTTTATTGGTTTCAGTTAATTGATAACTTGATAGCTCAACATGTGTTATACATAATGATAACTTGATAGCTTAAAAGCGGATCATACTCGGCTCACCCATGTAGTCCAGCTAGGAAATTCCCACAATTAGAATTCCTAATTTCAGATGGTTTCTTATGATAAAACACACTAAATTCATCACCCAGTTATTGAATAAGTAAACAATTACACACACGCAACATATATAAATAGAAAACAATCAGTTGTGATTGCCTAAATAGTTTTTGGGCATTTCATCAAACACGTTACAGGCATGTCACAACTGGTCAAAAAACAAATGACCAAAACAATCCAAAACAACGAATTACATGAACTCAAGAGTGAAATGGAGATCGAGACAAGGAGGAACGAAAAATAATAGAAAAAAGGAAAGGAAACCGTACGGAAATATTTAATCGGTGATCGAGCCGAAGACGAACGGTGAAATCGACGAATTAGTTGTTCCGGTCATCGAGAAATGCAGATCTCGGCGTTTCGCTGTGAAAACTCTCCGTCGCAATGAATTGGATTGAGGAGAGAGAAGAATATTTTTTTGCTTTTAACGTCAAGAGAGTGACCCATGGAGTGTAACGGTTGGAGTATGGAGAGGTGGGCTGGTATGTGTATTTATCATTCATTAGCTTTTAAGAAGAAACCCAATGGGTACCTATTTTAAACCCAAATTAATCCATAAATTTAAGCTAAATAATAGTACTCAACCTATTTTTAACTCATATTAATAAAAACAGGTATCCAACCCATTAATTTATGGACGAGTTAGTGAATTGTGGGCAAGAATTACCTAATTGGGAGTTTTGAATACTATTTTGAAAATAATTGTTGAATTGGATGGAGTTCAGGATCTGTGTGAAAATTGTAATTTATGGTTGAATGAAATAACAATTGTAGAACTAAACAATCAGATTTGGGGGTGAATCTAAAGCTAGAAATGCTGCCATTGTTGCCTGATATAAATGTGAACTAAAGGAAATTATTGTGCTCTATCTATAAAGCGAAAAACTTTTGTTAGACCATAATACCCCTATAAAAATGATTAAAGACAATTATATCATAATATATTTAATTACTCAATACCAATTAAATATCCAATAACCCTTCATATACTTTATACCCCTATAAAAATGATTAAAGACAACTATATTATTATATATTTAATTACCCAAAACCAATTAAATATCTAAATAACCCTTCATATATACTTTCATTTCCACATAAATAATCTATATGAATATCTATATCTATACATTTATTTATACTTCAAAAAATAAATATTTAGTGTACATCCAATTGATAATATGGATAATTCTAATATATTTCTTGATTTTTATTAGTATTTTTCATATCATAATCACAATAATTAATATTTAAAATTTTTATATTGTTCCCCTTTTTACACGGTGAATACATTAATTCGTCTTTCAAACAAGTTTGCATATCATCACAACAAGATTGCACCAACATCATGATAGAGCAAAAATGACTTGAGCCAAGTAAAAAAGCTTTTCCCTTAAGCAAGCTAATTTTTTCAATTTCATGAATTTGTTTGTTATTTTTACCAACTCCCTACTTCATATAGAAAAGTAGAAAAAATTTGTACTCTCGAGTCATGTTATATTTTTATCATTAAGGATCAAAAACAATAAAAATGTCACTATTGATGTTGCCATGAAAATGATGGAAATAATATTACACCTGACCCTTTTATTATACCTTTACCTTTTGTTTTAAAAGACCGAGAGGAAATACTTTTTATTTTCTCATAATTTAATTTATTATTTTATTTGAAAAAGATGTCATCTTTTGAAGAACTTGATATCAAAATCTACAGAGTGGTAGAACTTGTGACTTACCTAGGACACTTTGGTGGAGTGAATCTCTAGGGAAAAATACATAGAGTAGTTGTCATTTTGAATTTTGTAACAATTGGATGTTCTAAGAACTCATTTGTAATGAGGGTAATTTTAAGTGTTACTAGAAAATTATATATTATAGTACATTACTTTGTAAAATTTGCAATTTTTGTTATTAATACGTGTGTGGTCTCTTATGCTAATGATTACATTATTTGCTGATTCAGGATCCTCATACGATTTTTAATTTCACTTATTGGCCAAAAGTAGTACAATAATAAATCTTGAATTGAGTAAGATTCTGGTAAGAATTTACCTTGAATAACATTTCAATTAACACTAGCATGTCTCCTACGTTGATTTGAGTCCTCAATGATTTTTTTTTTTAATATTAGGGTACATGCCCCTTTTAAATTCTAGAAAACCATTTAATCCATGGTTATGGTGGTTTTTTGGGTGATGTGGTCAAAGACCACTTGTTTTTTTAAAGATGTAAAACAATAAAAATCTTATAATCTACATAAAAATCTGATGATGAAGACAATTTTCCACAAGGACTTTAAGAGGGTGGCTAACTGGTTGACAACCAGAAGCAGGGAAATAGCTTCAGATGAATCTGATTCCAGAATAATTCTTCCTCCAATGTTAACTGAAGCCTTGTAAATGGCCCAGAGTTCTGCTTTCATGCTCGAAGACTGGTTGATTATGCCCATAAAATCTTGGATCCACATTCCTCTGTCATCACGAACCACTCCACCAATTCCAGCTGCTCCAGGGTTGCCTTTTGAGCACCCATCCATATTTATTTTCCTCCAACCTGTAGGTGGAAAAGACCAGGAAATTAGTCCGATTGTCTTACACAACTTATCAGCTTTAAGGTTTTCAAAAGCTTTAAGTGATTTTTCGGCCGGAAAGAGAGCCAGTTTGGCTATCCTACTTTCAATATTCGATTCTTGTAGCTCTTTTTTGATGAAGAGGAGGATTAAACTTTGAAGATTTGATTCTGTTAGTTTTCTAGATGAAGAGGAGGATTAGACTTTGGAATTTCTTTGTCCGAAAAACTTGATCATCTAATTCTCTCAGCTGGCTTATACTTATCAAAGGTCGGTCACCTCTTAATTCCAACCCTCCCTCCTGCCTAAACAAAAGAAGAAATTTGTGTACTCTGGTCTTGTCTTTGTGACCTGTTCAGGTTGTGGTTTCAAAATTTACCTCAATTGTTCCAGAAGATACTCCCAGGAAAGCTCCAATGAGCTAACCAAATCGCATGTTAGAAGAACGAAATTCTGAGGCTGCAACTTGCTAGAATATGGTTTGTAACTGTCGTTGCTGGTATGTATGGTGGTGTAGCATTAACGATGCACTACCTGCACTCTTTTATGTAGTGAAGTTGGGATTATGGTGTAATTGCTTCTTTGTTTTTTTTAAGTTGATGTGAGGAAGTAGAGTCTAATAATATTGTTCTGCCTGACATTTGTAGTGTTTACTTAATTGATGGGGGCAGGTGATGTGTACGACATACATCCAAGAAAGAACAGAGTTGATCGAAGCCTTACACAAGGATAGAAAGCTATCTGACCTTCCCAAGATTACTCAGGTTTTGATTCTTGCGTCATTGAAGTCTTCTAGTTTCGTGCATTAAATTTGGTTCCCTGTTTAGCACTTCTTCATCCTCTTAATCTTTATCTAATGACATTATGCCTACCTTATGCAGCCCACATTAATCATCCGGGGAGAACATGATCAGATATTCCCATTGGAATTGGCACACAGATTGAAAAGGTATGTCTGAGAAATATTTTGAGATTGATTTGAGAAATTTAATCTGCTCTTTCAGGTTCCAAGAGGGTTGATTCATAGCAAAAAAACACGATTTGCAGTATTCTGTGTTGCAAGTCTTCTTACATCTGAGTCTATCTTTCATCTTATTGGCCACTGAGCGAGACCATTTTTTATCTCCTTTTTGAATATTTCTACCTTGACTTCTTTGTTTTGTCATGTGTTTTGTATTGTCAGGCTTTTGGGTGAAAATGCAGAACTTGTGATTATAAAGAAAGCAGGACATGCAATCAACATGGAGAAGCCCAAAAAGATGTACAAACACTTGAAGTCATTCTTTATCAATCCTCTCCCTCTGCCTAGGCATGAAAATAATGGCAATAGCCACAAGGAAGACTGACAGGTTTGGAGAAGAAAGAGTGTGTTATCTGAGAAGCTGCTAGTTTGCTGAGCCTACCTTTGTTGGATTATTGTGGTTGTGTATAGCAGACATCACAATCAACTTAGAGTTTGCCAAGTATTCGTTACAGAGTTTGAAAACATGTGAATAGGAACACAGAAAGATATGTTTATGCCATCACCCTGATAAGCTTGCTGGATCACCACAAAAATTTGATTTGAGAAACTTTCAGAAGGACACTTGAATTCATGGTGGCGGTTGAGGCTGTGGGGGATGTTGTTGTTCTTTCCTTTATCTTTTTTCCCTTTCCTTCTTATTTTTGGCATTGGAATTCTACTCAATCTGCAATGGATCCAATGCCATTGGCAATCGCATTGAAGAGGGAGACTGGCATTCCAGTTATATCTTTTTATAGTGTCTTGTTGAATCCATACATTATATTAGTATTTTCTCATTCCAAACACGTGTTCTTTGGAGTTGTGAAATGTGAAGTAAACTCCGGATGTGTGCAACGATACGTGCTAGATGTCTCTTGGCAGACTTGAATCTGGACCTTGTGGTATTAACCATTGAGTTCTACCATTCAATCTATCTTGATGGGTTTACATTATATTTGCTTTATTGCACAAATATTGTGACCTTTATTATTGGAGATGTTGCTTTTGTATGAGATTTTGACAAAAAGTTAGGTTAACCTAATAACAAAAGTTAAGACACTAAATATGGGCAAAACGTGGTAGTCCAAACAACCCTAGGGGATAGGAGGTTTAACCCTAACCCATGGGATTTTAGAAACTTATACCCAAAAAAGGGTAGTTTTCAAACTATTTTTCAAATCCAGGTAATTTTAAAAACGTCAATCCAACTGACGTTTTTAATTATAAAACATTAGTTGGAATGACGTTTTTCACTAGAAGACGTTATTGGCAATGACAGTTTTAAATGGAGATAAAAAACTATTTACTAATGTAAAACGCTAGTGGAATCAAAGTCTTCTTAAAAGCATCATTCAGACCAGCGCTTTTAACGCTATCTCCTACCCCCCCATTTCCCCCTTTATTCTTTCTCTTTCGTTATCTCTGATTTCCCCCTTTTCTGAGAATTAGGAGCCTTAACCTAACCAGAAATCGCCACCATTTGCCACCAACTACCACCACCAACTCTCCACCCCCACCATCGGAAATCAACCCACCCACTTCTCTCTTCTTCCATTCTCTTTGATTTTCCCCATTTTCAGATATTGAAGCCCTAACCCGAAATCCCCATAACCCCCATGTTGGATTTTTTTTTTTGTGGAGTCTAGTTTATGGTTGATCCGGATGATGACCCGACCCAAAATAATGTTGCGTGGTTTTTAATAAAAATTTTTTTTGAGGCTTAATCCATGGAGCGAAGGCTTGGGCCGATGTAAGACATATTAAACCTGTTTCTTTTGGGTGATTAGGGTTTGATTGACTCTGTACGGACACTCTGTATTCCTTCCTGATAATAGTAAAATCCCTACAGTTTCGTGGATGTAGGCAAATTACCGAACCACGTAAATATTGTCTTGTGAGTGTAATTGTTTTTCTTTGGCGTGCGTTTTTTCTCTATTATTGTTTCTCACAGGTTTGGGATTTTCGTGTGAATTTCCTAAGGCCCCATTGACCCCCCACCATCAGAAATCACCACCTCCACCACAAGACCCTCTTATTAGCCATATAGCAACCACCACTCCTCCGCTGCTAGTCTGAGAATGCCTCCACCATTGCCAACCCCCACCTTTAAACATTATCACCACCACCCCCACCTTTAGAAATCCCCACCATCCCCACCTTCAGAAATCATCTCCACCACCCCCACCTTCAACAATCCCCACAATTCCCCCAACTTCAGAAATCATCACCATCACCCTCAGGTCGCAAACCCAGACACACAGAAAACGTTATTCGGACCAGCGTCACACTGCAACCACAACTCCACCGCTACTCTGATAACGCCCCCACCATAGCCACCTCCACAACAGGTCATGCTCCTCTTAGTTAAATGAAATAGGTTTTTGTAGGGTGTTGATTTAGAGTTATATTTGTGTGTTAATTGAAATATAATTTCATTCAATAAGATTTTTAGGGATTTTAGATGTTAGGGTTTTTGTTATGCTCATGGAATACATGCTAAGTTGATTATTATTGAGTGTTTGTTTTGTGAAAATTGTAGGTTAATTTGTTTTCAATTTGGGTGTTGAATAGAGTTTGTGAAATTTCAACTTGATTTTTCTTTTTTTGTGAAATAGGTTTATAGTGTCTTCATTTAATGAATGTTAGGGTCATTTACATTAAGAATGAGCATTAATTTATTTTACTTCCATTATTTTGGAAATTTTTTGTCAAGTAGTATGAAATAAATTTGTGTGTTAATTGAAATAGATTGTGTGATAATTTCATTCAATAAGATTTTTAGGGATTTTAGATGTTAGGGTTTTTGTTATGCGCATGGAATACATGCTAAGTTGATTATTATAGAGTTTATTTAGTGAAATTTGTAGGCTAATTTGTTTTCAAATTGGGTGTTGAATAGAGTTTGTGAAATTTTCTTTTTTGTGGAATAGGTTTATAGCGTCTTCATTTGATGAATGTTAGGGTTATTTACACTAAGAATGAGCATTAATTTATTTTACTTCCATTATTTTGGAGATTTTGTGTCAATATCAATCGGTTGATTTGTACTATCAACCGATTGATATTGAAATAGATCCACAAATATTTATGATTTATTGATTTAGTCAATTTGAGTTATATATTTCTTGAGGACTAGTTTTTTGGATATAATAGAAAGGTTCTTATATCTCGAAAAAAAAATGAAAAGAACATATAGCTCCCATAAAAGCCTATCAAAAGAAGGAAAACCACCCCTTTAGTAAGGTCTAAGCTTTCCTTTCGTTATGCGAGAGTAGTTTTAAGACGATCTAATCCTCTGCTCACGATGTAAAACGTCAATTGAACCAACATTTCTATAAATTGTTTAGGATTTCGTATAAGATTAAAGTTCCTTAAATTTTTCATAAATGTCCGAGCAACACAATTTTGCAACACCATCTGGGTTTCTCACTCTCAGTAATACCATTGTAGTTATGTCTCTTAGTCAACAAGCACCACCAATGTCATTGTTTGTATCAAAGTTCATGGTATTGGTTTGATCTCTTGGTTTGTTAGTGTGCTTACTCGATATTTCCAACCCTAAGGTTTTCATGTTTTATCAATTCTTGTATGTCGCATGCGTTAAAATTCATGGGAATTTGATTAACTATGGATCTATTCTTCCTCAAGTAATAACCTTTTTTTTATCAGTTCTCAGGTTCTTGTGAAGTCAGAACTTATTACACAAAGAAAACTAATTGAAATGGTGGGAAAACAAGTAACAATTTTGCTATATTGGGGTGGAAAAATGGAATATGAATTGGAGGGTTTATCATATAATTGTCCTCCCAAAGGTGGAATTGTTATAAATAGTGGTACAAAATTGCAGGAGTTGTTGAGTAAAATTTTCACGCATTACAATTTGAGGTTGACATATAGATATCCATTTACACTAAGAGCATGACCAAACATGAATAAATATGTCAGACTAGAAATTAGCAACGATGATCTTGTTACTTCTTTGCTTAATGTGATACTCGACAACCCCAGCATGACTAGTGTTGCTTTGTACGTGGAGACGGAGGACATCAATGTTGTCATAGGCAATAGTCAAGTCAGGGGTTGCCTAACTACCACTAACTTGTCTTATAGCGAGTTGCTTGTCTTATAGCGAGTTGCTCAGGCGAGAGATATGCAACTCGACATTTCCAACTTCTGGTTTCATGAGTGAATGTTCCATCTAGTGGGGATACAATTAATGGATGTCTCTGGGCAGTACACCTATACCCACCAACATTCTTGGTCTGTTACACATGTTGAGTACTAAAGCCCAATGAGTCTAAATTGTGAAATGGATGAGGAAGGGATTGAGTGGGGTGAACAAGATGATGTCCATCAACCACTAATGCAAGAAAGCCAAATTTGAAAATATGAAGAAATGTGTGCGAATGATCGTACAGATGTGTCAGATGAAGAAGAAGAAGAAGAAGAGTATGAGAAAATAATGCTTGATGAGCCAGATGACAAGGATAAAAATGGTGAAGATATTGAGGCTGATAGGAAGGTTCGGATGCATAAGCCTTACTCCACATCCTTCACAACCACTGAATTTGGTCGGCATTTTAAAGCAGATAGCTTAGCATTGTCTTCTGAATTGAATTTGTGGTACCCGATGAATTAGCAACGAAGAACTTGTTACTTCTTTGCTTAATGTGGTACTTGACAACCCCAACATAACTACTGTTACTTTGTGCATGGAGACGGAGAACATCAATGTTGTCGTAGACAATAGTCAGACCAGGGGGTGCCTAACAGCCACTACCTTGTCTTATAGTGAGTTGCTCAAGCGAGAGATAGGCAACTCGACATTTCCAACTTTTGGGTTCATGGGTGAATGTTCCACTCCAGTGGGGATACAGTTAATGGATGTCTCTAGGCAGTACAACTATACCCACCAATATTCTAGGTCTGCTATACATGGTGAGTACTCAAACCTAATGAGTTAGAATTGTGAAATGGATGAGGAGCGGATTGAGTTGGGTGAACAAGATGATGTCCATCAACCACTAATGCAAGAAATCTCAATTCGGAAATATGAAGAAATGTGTGTGAATGATCGTACAAATGAAGAAGAAGAAGAAGACGAAGAAGAAGAAGAAGAGTATGATAAAATAATGCTTGATGAGCCGGATGACAAGGATGAAGAAGAAGAAGAAGAGTATGATAAAATAATGCTTGATGAGTCGAATGACAAGGATGTGAATGGTGAAGATATTGAGGTTGGCGGGGAGGTTCGGATGCATAAGCCTTACTCCACATCCTTCACAACCACTGAATTTAGTTAGCATTCTTAAGCAAATAGCTTAGCACCATCTTTTGAATTTA